GAGATTGCCCATCTTTCTTCTGAGAAGCAGCTGATAGATTTGAACTATCTCCCTTTGGTTTGATAATGCAGTGTCTTACATGATCTCCTGGAATATAGGGCTTAAAAAAGCCCTCTAATATTATCTGAAGGGTGTTCTGGTGGCCTAGTGGGTAAGGATTTGTATTGCCAGCTCAGACGGAGATGGTTGGAACCCCCCAGCTGCTCTGCTGGAGAAGGGTGGGCAGGCCCTTGTCCTGCGGTGTGCAGCTTCTGCACCCCCGCTGTAGGGTCGGCTCCGGCCTGGCAGTACGCAGCCACTGCAGTGATGCCGTTCGCACCATTTTCTTTGGTTTCTGTTAGGTAAGAAGGCGCCGGTGCTGTTCCGTAAGGAGATGATCGAGTCGATGAAGGAAGGTTCTGTCGTGGTGGACTTGGCGGCTGAGGCGGGTGGAAACTTTGAAACCACGAGGCCGGGAGAACTGTATGTTCACAAGGTGCAGCAGCAGCCTCCGTGCGGGTGTGGGCCTCACGGCCTCCTGGATGTGTGATTGGTGGGCTTGGGGGTGGTGGGGATGCCCCTTTCACTATCTTGAGTAACCTGTAATGAAGGCATAGCCGCGTGGGAAGTCCCCTTTCCAGTGTGTCTTCCTGCCGCTGTGCCGTGTGCATTTTGACAGAAGTGGCTGTGGCCGTGGGAACCCGAGAGCTTGTCCCTTCTGACTGGACTCTCGTCTGTCCAGGGAGTTACTCACATCGGCTACACCGACCTTCCCAGCCGAATGGCCACGCAGGCCAGCACCCTGTACTCCAACAACATCACCAAGCTCCTCAAGGCCATCAGCCCGGACAAGGACCACTTCTATTTTGACGTGAAAGATGATTTTGACTTTGGCACGATGGGCCACGTCATCAGAGGGACCGTGGTGATGAAGGTAAGTGCAGGGCTGTGTCTTCTGGTCCCCCGGGCCATCCGGTGGGTAAGGTCCTCACTACGGTGGGTCCCTGCGTTAGCGACAGAATGTGCCAGTCAAGTGTATACATGTGTTGAGATGATGCCGATCAAAATTCAAAAAGGCATCAAAACACCACAAAGATTTTTGTACCCATACGACTCTCCCCAAATATATGCTGCTTTTGAAAATCGAAGTATAAAAGCAATTCGATAAAACAAAAAATAAGTCTACCCCCCATCCCACTTTTACGGGGTTTGTGAGCATTCTACCACATCGGTGGCTGTCGTGGGAGCTTCTGAGTTGGAACAGACCCCTGGCTGCTCCTCCAGTGTGTTTTCAGAGGCAGCATACAGCACGGAAGGAGACTGTCTGTCATTCTCCCGTGGAGCCGCTGGTGGCTTCGAACTGCATGCCGTTGGGATTGCAGCGCAGCTTCTTAGCGCTAGGCCACCCGAGCTTTCTAAGGAGCCGTGGCAGTGGAAGACAGTCGCCTGACATTTGGTTGTCACTGGTCCTGACAGCAGGGTTTGAGTCTTGAAAGAGTTTCAGTTTGTAATTATACTGGGATGAAAGTAACATGAAACGAAATCAAACACACACAAGAAAGGGATACTCATAGTTGTATTGAAAGAAGCACGCTGTCTAGGAGAGCGTCCAGCGCCTGGGAGCACAGTGTGATGGGCTCCAGAGAGGACAGGAGTGGGCCCAGGGGACCCATGAGGAGTCTTGTCTCCACCCACCCCCTGGGGTAGGAGTGAGATGCCCACCGTCCTGGGGCTCAGGCCTTCAGGGCGATGATGCGCTTGAGCTTGGTGACTGCTGAGCTCTTCAGCGCACGCGTTCCAGCAACATTGCCGTTTCTCCACGGAGAGAGTGCGCGTGGAGTTGTAAATCCCAGCTTCTGCCTTTAAGGTTCAGGCACCTCTGTGACCTACAGGGAAGAGGCTGCGCTGTAATCACAAAGGCATGCAGTTTGAGTCCACCAGCAGTTCCGTGGGAGAAAGATGGATTTGCGATTAACTGCCTCCGAAAACCTGCAGGAGGGTCAGCTGTGGGTTAGTGCCCGCTCGATGGTACAACAGCAACCTTTCAGGTTAAGGGAGCTCGGGCGGCTGAGTGCTAAGGAGACATACTGTCAACCCAAAGGCAAAGGGTTCAAATCCACCAGATGCTGTATGAGAGAAAGACAGTCAGTCTCTCCCCTCAGGATTCACTGCCTCTTAAAGCCTAGTGGAGGGAGGGTCAGCCATGCTTGGAAAGGTGGAGGGCCAAGAAAAGAGAGGAGGCTCCTTAAGGAGGTGGACTGACATGGTGACTGCAGGAATGGGCTCAGGTATGTCAGACGATGAGGAGGTCACAGGACAGGACAGGCTGCAGGTCTGTTTTCACAGGGTCATTAGGAGCACCTGACAGAAACAGCAAATGGCACATCATAACAACAACTACTACACTGCCGTGGTAGTCAAGACAGCATGGTACTGGTACAATGACAGACACATAGATCAATGGAATAGAATTGAGAA